ACCGCTCAACTTCTGGGTTTGTATGGAGGGAGGGACAGAAGGAAAGAGGGAGGGAATTTCTCCCCCCTTTCTCCATCTCTCCCTCCCTCCTTCCCTTTTACTGACCACTGAGCATTGTTCCTGCTGGGCCACTGCGAGCTCTTTCCCCCAATCAGAACGGATTCCAGTGAGGTCAGAGGTCACATGTGGCCTTTTATGGAGCAGAGAGAGCGAGAGAGGAGGTGGTGGGGTCTAAGGGGTTTCAATGGCCTCTTTCAGGGCATGTGTGTCCACTCCTACCATCTGCTTGCCACAAACACAGGGACAAAGGCATGCAGACACACTGACAGTGTCTCCTGGCATGTGTCTAATCTTAGCAAGTCATTAAACACACCATAAAGCTCCTGATGAATTGAATTGTCTTGAGTTTACTTTTGCTTCAGTGGAAGCATGTGTTGCGTGCCTAAGTTTAACCTCTGTGTCACAGGAAATTCTCTGACATGTCCATCTGTGCTGCTCATTTATCAATTTAAAGTTTACTGAGGTCAATAGACACCAGTGTTAGCAGTTGTGCTAGTCCCTGTACTGACGGTTTGACATTTTTGACATTTTTGACATTTTGACGCTAATTCATTAATATCTTGTACTTTTTGTTTCTTCCATTAAGAGGCGGATTTCTTTAGTTATTAACTAAAAAGACAGTATGTGTGTGTATTACACCCTGCCAATCACTGTCAGGGCAAAAGCAACGTTCAATCCTTCCATTTGCATTTTTATCATGAAGACTGCTTTTAAAAATACTGACAGAAATGGCAATAAGAAAAAAACAGGGAACATCTCTACACAGTGGCACTTGAAACTCCTAAGACTCCTTAACTCCCCCTCATTCATTTTGAAAAATAAACCATGCTTCTGAAGTAGACTGTGCTGCCCTCTGTGCCACTCCCTCAGACTTTCTCCTGACCTTTAACCCCTGAGGTTCTGACAGTCAAGTGTTTGTCTGGGAGAACATCTGCCTCTGGCAAACCTGAGCTCCTAACCACATCTACATTCCTTTGGCTCAAACCTGCTTCCGCAGGCGGAGAGCTTCTGCGTATATCACTGTTTATTTTGATTTGACCACAAGTACACAAAGGAAATGTTATTACATAACATTTGAGAGCTGCACTCTGCCGTCATGAGGAAATGAAAGTGCACAAGTGCAGAGACGACCCAAAGTTCATCTTCAGTTGATACATAACAAGTACTCTAACAGTAGTCTTTCAAAGGCTAAAGCATGGAAAAGAAGTAAAGAATGTTATCAGTTCATTGGCAGTAGGTCAAAACTTTGGATGAAATTGTTTAATTCAGAGTTTTCCTCCTGGATTTTCCACAGTTTTTTTTTGGTGAAATAGTCACAAAACGTATTATTATTATTATTATTATTATTATTATTATTATTATTATTATTATTATTATTATTATTTCGTGTCCAACTTTTTTGTGTTCCCAGCACGAATTTCAAACCAATACATTTCAATTGGAATTATCTATTGTGTCTGGGACACGTTTTTTCGCCATTAGACAGCGCATTAGCTGTGATGTTTTTGGCGTTCTTTTCTGTCGACAGTCCAGCATTAACCAGTTTTACTGTTATGGTCCGTCCACACAAATACCTATAGAGATCACTGTACAGATGTGTGCGCTCACACTGCTGAATGTTAGCGTAGTCTGAAAAGAAGGACACATGCAGGAAAACGGTGACCGGAAGATGTACTGTGATCGTAGTGAGTACATCATATTGTGGAATTTTTTTGTGTTTTTATTACACCGGCAGTGTTTGGGGGAAATTTGCGCTCGATGCTAAGGCAACCCTGTTAGCGTCGGCGCGCATCCTCCCCAGAGACCTCGAAGAGAGCCGTCCTACAGAGTCTGTAATGTTTTCGTGTGTACAGTATCCGTTGTGGGGCACTTCCGTTGTGTGAGTGGATATGCAGCGTTTTCTTTTTGCAGCGCGTTTCTGTTTACGCAACGCATTTATGTATATGCAGCTCATTTGTGTATATGCACGTCAGTTGCCCCCGTCGGCCACCCTACGTGAGGCTAAAAACAGGACAGTTTCTCAAATGTCATGTTATTTACCCAACACTCGCTAACAATTATCCCTGTTTCTATACGGACACTCCCCGTATCATTTGGTGATTTTGTGAGTAAAAAGCAGTGTGAAGTACAGGTTAAAAAGCTTTAGGATCTTCAACACATTATAGGTAAAACTGCAAAAATTAGGCATAACTCTTTTACAGTTGCACTTATTCAAATTTTCAGCTTAACTGCAGCTTAACACACAGCGATGAGTGAAAATAATCTTCTCATCAAAATCTCTGCAAAAACACAGGGGACGGTATTTTCCAAAATGTCAAACTATTCCACTAAACAGTATTACTTGTAACTCTCATAAACAAATCTAAGTGTCTAAAAATATTTTCTGCTCTATTTAACATAATGTAGTTTTAGTCTAGGGCATCCTGTTCATCTCTAATCACAAAATCAGTGTTTAACTGGGATACTTTAATGTATTAATACTAATACTAATATACTTTGTGTAAATCTCATAGAAGCACCAGCACATAGAGGCAGGATCCCAACATGCTCAGTGTGATCAGTCTGCTGACAACAGTGGGAACTTCTGTGTTCAGTGGCTGACTGTGTGCACTGTTGTTGTTTTTGAGCTGTCTGCTGCTGCCCGCAGCACTAGCTTCAGGTCCAATTATGATTACAGTAATGACTGTATACATAAAATAAAAATAATTTTAATGGTGAATCTTACTGCTCTGTCCAGACATGTTAAATTGCTTCCCAGACTGTTGTCTGCTTTTAACGTGGGAAACAGGAAACTGTTGTCTGACCCCCAAAGTGGCAATGAGCAAAAGAAATTTGGTGTCCTTTGTTAATTCTACTGTTCATTCAGCAGAGAGAAAGAATCAGGTGTTTTTTTTTCTGTTTACGAGTAATAATCACTCTTTCATCATCTCTTTCTCCATCCTGCCGCCTCTTTGCTCTGACTAACATGTTTACAATAAACAGACAGACTTGCCCTTTAAAAGAACAAACCGAGCTGTCTGCAACACACTGCAAAATACCATCATAAATGTCACTTTCGTTTTGTTCCCAGTGAATGGATGAAAATATGTTTAGGTCATAATATTTAAGATTATCTACAGCAGAATAAAATGTGTTTTTTGGCCTCATGTAATAATTCTGCCTTAACATTTTTATTTAATTTCATGAAAAACAAGCCTTTCATGATGAACACCATCCTTAAATAAAGGATTTGAGCTGTTTAGAGTGGAGACTTTATTTGCATTTCACCAATTACTTGACTTTTTTGTAATGGATTTTAGGGCTGCAGGGTGGCGCAGTTGGTAGCACTGTTGCCTCGCAGCAACAAGGTTGCCGGCTTGCGACCCGGTGGGGCCACCGGAATCTTTCTGCGTGGAGTTTGCATGTTCTCCCCGTGCAGCGTGGGTTCTCTTTGGGTTCTCTGGCTTCCTCCCACACAGTCCAAAAACATGTTGAGGTTAATTGGTGATTCTAAATCGTCCGTAGGTGTGAATGTGAGTGTTCTTGATTGTCTGTCTCTAAGTGTAGCCCTGCGATAGACTGGTGACCTGTCCAGGGTGTCCCCTGCCTTTGCCCTAAGTTGGCTGGGATAGACTCCAGCCCCCCCTACGACCCTAATGAGGATTAAGCGGTGTATAGATAATGGATGGTAATGGATTTTAACAATTGAACTTGCCAATGTCATTATTTATTTCTGCTGTGATGTTTTGTCCTCAACAGTGAAGACTTGAGTTGAACCAGTGCTCTCTGATGTTAGTTCGATCTATATGGAATTTATCCTTTAGCATTTCCAACATTGATATTGTGCCATTTCTGTTCTTTCTTTCCTTTTGCAATGACAACAGTTGACCAAAAATTAGTGAGATGTGTGTGTCTGTCTCTACAGTTTTGGTGTTATTAGCTTCAAAGCTTTATTTGATTGCATCTAAAGACAGACTGTACAGGCAACACTCAACATAGCTATCGTAACATTTCACTAGTTTGGCTGATTTGTCATTCTTAACCGTGTTCATATAGCTTGCTAGCCAACATCTCACTGAGCGGCTAGCATTGTGGTGTTGACTGATTGAGAGGAATAATAGCAACACTGATGTGCTGTTTCGCAACATATCAGAATTTCTATTGGCTCAAAGCTAGCACGTGGAACTAGTTACCACAATGGTGTGATTGTTTTATTGCACAACGTACCACAAATGGTGTTTATATGTACAAATACCTCAGTCAGTACCTCTTGATAAGGTGTCAGACATCCTTAAAGGAATCTTCCCAGTACTGTAAACTGTAAATCAACTCTGTTTTTAGCATAACATTTCATATAACAGAAATATACACTAAAAAGTTACCACAGCAGCTAAGATCTGATATGAGCCTGAACCACTGAAAGACACTTGTGTTTTTTGACACCACAGTAAATTCCTCCTGCAGCTGTGTGGTTCATATCTCCTCGGACAGGATGTCCCAGCAACAAAAGACCCTCCCCTCCCCTTCTGTCCCCTCCCAGAACAGGACGTGAGTGGACATCCTGCCAGCAGTGGTCTCTTCCTCTGTTACGGTCAACTATTATTAGCGGGCATCCAGCATCAGCTGTCCTGCATGGGCTCGACAGAATATCCAAACCCATTTTTTAAATTATTATAATGCCAGAACTAAAAATAATAAACACAAATCCCCAAGGAACTAGCTAGTCTTCCTCTAACTACATGCAATTTGCCAAAAACAAAAGTCATGCCCACATCTCTAGCCAGTAGCAACAAAGTGCAGGCCAGGTGTGTGTATGAGTGTATGTTTTTGGTAAGACATTCCAGTCAACTCTTGAACCCTGTCCAGCAGCAATCAGGAGCTCAAGTGTTTGGGTTTACTGCTTTTGCCAATCACACCCTCATACAGTATACGTGGTCACACAAATTCCTGGTAAAGTGTACCTTGTGTCCAGCTGTGCTGCTCCCACTGCCCACCAGTCCTGAGCTGGGAAAACTCTGAGAAATGTTTCACTGGGAAGAAAAGGAAGGCACTGATAAGATTTCTAAATGCAGACACACCCGCAGTCACAAGTGTTCATTTTGACATTATCTCTTACCATAGGGCGTTGGAGGAGACACTGGGAAGGCTGGAGTCGGAGGGACGATGTCAGAGGTATCCACTTGTCCCCTATAGTCCACGCTGTTGGTTTTGTAGAGATGCCCATGCTTTGAAGAAAGCAGCAAGACAGGAAATAAGGGAGAAAAGTCAAGAAATGATTTTTTTTTTTTCTTTTCAAAGTCTTAAGAGGTGACAAGCCCACATGTACATGCTCGCGCACACACATGCGCCAGCAGACATCAGTCTTGTGATCTGTGTGGCTGCAGCCTGTGTTTTGGTGTAAACAGTTGAGCCATTCATGCCACCCAGCCGAAAGACTGAGTGCAAGAGCAGAAAGATCAAGTTTTCAAAAAAGACAGAAGAGAGACAGAAAGAAAGGGAAAAAGAAAAGAAACATCTACAAAGACGTAGTTACAGTTTTACATTCATAATCTTAGATCTCTGTAGCAAAATGTGAAGTGATAATTACATTTTGTTTATTTGATGCAATTGACCAACAGGTAGACAGTCCACTGTAAACATACCGGTGGCATTTTATTTACCAAGAGTTGTTTAGATCTGAATTTACTTCTTCTTATAGCCCAGACTGTTTTGGATCCTACTGAGGTAAAATCAGATAATTCATGAGCACAGATTCTGATTGGCATAGACTGTTATCTCTTCACTGCAGCGTCATCAGGATGTTTCATCCCTGTAAGATCGTGTCTAACTTTCAGGTAAAAAGTCATATTTTTCCCAACGTAGCCATAAATTGCTAGGTTAATTGTAGCACCACTTGGCAATAAAAGAGTGGCAATTGTCCTGATGTCCTAAATGTTTATCCTCTGGAAGGCTACTTTGATCACTTATTAACTTTTAGCTGCTGAAAAATAGAAACAGCACACTGCCAAAAAAAACCAGCTTTGCTTGTCGTCTTTACCAGTTACAATTTAAATTCCGATAACAGAAATGACGTACGTACTCAGTGTAGTCTTGTACAGGGTTCTGCACTCTCTCATTTACAACTGTCTGAAATGTGGTCACAGTTTTTCATAGACATTCAAATTTAGATTTTAACCTTGGTTTTGGTGTGATATCACTGGTTTGGAATAAAAAAAATCTCAAAAATGACACCATTAAGAGCTAGAAACTGTAAATACAGTGTTGTCAGAATTTTAAATGTCCCGACTGATTAAATTACTCATTGGTGACATGTTGTTCCAGTGAAAAACTCAATGAAGTCTAAGCTTACATTCGCAAAACCGAAAAGAAACTATTTCACCACACTCTGATACACCCAAATCTATTCAGCTCATCTGGAATGTAAATATGCAGTTTTCTGTGTTGTTCTTAAGTGCTCATGAGCCCAAGAATGTGTCTGCAGAGTTACAGAGCCAAAAATGCCAACATGATGACAAAATGTCCCGCATAGCATGTGCCATGGTTACAGGAAATGAAAATAACCCAGTGTAATATGTTAGATGGATACAGCAGCTGCAAAAATACAACATTAAGTTAAAAAAACAAAAACAAATAAAAAACATGTTGATGGCTGAAAGTGTACAAATTTGGTTAAATATTGAAAAGGTAAGGATACTCTGTCTGGTGAAAATGTTGACTTTTGTTTCCCAAATCTTTAACGAAGCGCCACAAGAAAACTGGTGCCTGTTACGCCACAACAGGCACCAGTGACCTTCTGGCCACAGCTCCTAACTTCTGCAATGGAGGCTTTGAACATGGCCCACTCTGACTCCATGTCCCCAACCTCCGCTGGGATGTGGGATGTTGCTTAAATTATATTAGCTTAATTTCTAGCTACCTAAAGTTGGATTGCTGGCAGATTTTCTATGCTGATGGGCCATCAATAACCTCAGTAGGAGCTGCGTTTAATATTTTCAGTGTTTAGTAACTGATGTGAAGTTTAACAGTCAGCAGTCAAAGTGAGGGTCGGGTGAGGTGGCACGAGGGAGCTGTGTTTACCTGAGAAGGCGAGAGGGAGGGACTGTAGAGTGGGGAGCCTCTGAAGCTCTTAGGTCCGCCTCCTCTCCATCCCGCAGAATGGAGACCACCGTACTCCGTTACATTGCTGACCTGCTTGTGTTGCTTCCACCCTGATCAGGAGCCAAGCCATAAAGAAGGGGAGAGTGGGGAGGGCATGAGTGTGGGAGGCAGAAAAAGACAGTCAGACAGTCAGACAGATTAGAATCTAAAATTGCAACCAACCAGAGAATCAAACTCATTAAATATCCACAAGCAGTTATGTCTATTCTCACAGAAAGCCACAACATTAAACAGTATTGACACATTGTTATGACCAGAGCCCACATTGGCAATAAAAGGCGATGACAGTGATTCATGTTTGGTGTGCTTGTCTCTAACAAAAGCTTCTATCAGCATGTTTATCAGAAGAGCAGAGCTGCTATCATCATAGCAGAGCCTGTGTGAGTAAGCGAGACTGGACTGTAAGCAGATGGTGGAACATCATGGCGTCTTGTCAGAAAAACATCTGCTGGAGCAATCAGTGGTTCTCTTTGCAGATATGAGTAGGTCATCGCCCCCTGGGCCTGAGCTCACACACCCACATAACATTTCTGCTTAGGAAGACAGATATCTGTTGCATGGAACTATGTATGAAAAGAGTCTTCTTGTTAGCTTTAACTGTTGTTTCAAAGAGTCATAAAATCAGCAAATTGATAAACAAAGTGTTAGAGCCAGAAAGAACCAGCTTTTTGAAATATTTATTGGTGTTATTTATGCTAACACCTCTGACCACCAAGTGGCACTTCTTTATTTAAATGTAACAGTTCCCAGTTGAACTTAAAAAAGGGAAAAGTGACGTTTCTTCAAGTGGTGCTTATTAGTGATGAAGTATGTAGTCTCTGACTGTACAAAGTTTAATTTTGTCGCATTTTGTATATCTTTAGAATGTGCTTTAGGCTGGACAACTCTCAAGGTCAACAAGTGGAGAGCTGAAATATTGCTTGTACTACTTCAGTTGCTGAAACTGAGCTGAACTGAGTATTTACTGAAAACACCCATCATTATGAGTTTCACAACATCAGTCCCTCAGTGCCTTTTAAACATGGTGAATAATTAATGATGTTAAAAGTGAGAGGCCCGCCACCTAAAGAACCCCTCAGGTGAAAATTCAGTTTTTTACTTTATTAACTCGTCCATATGGAGCAGTTTCTATGCTAGAGGACAAAAATCACAGTTCAGTTCAGTCTGAACTTCAGTTTTAGAGTCACAGTTTAGCACATTTTCAGTGCAGCAGGAAACAAGTTGTTTACTGTTTCAGTTGATGCACTCAATGCTAAATAGAAGACACTGAGTTGTTTAACCTAAAGTATGAAATAAATAATACCCTATACAAACCTTTTAAGAAACCAGCAGTGGATTTTCAGCTTTAGAATTTGTACAAAGTAACACTGCCTGTTTAATTTTGTCAGTAGCTGAATGAGATATAAATTCCATCTACTTCAGTAATGTTTTTGGCCCTGTCTGTTCACATATCTAGATACTGCCTAAAAGCAAGGGGAAGTAGTTACATAACTAGTGATTCGCACATCCAGATAATGCCGCTGAGTATGTGTTGCATGTTTGATATGTTTCTGCACTCATACCCTACAACTGTCAAAGCTGGCACACTGTCTTCATCCGAATCACCACTACATTCCACACGTGCCCGGTAGATTAGTGTCTACGTATTCTGCACACGCAAACTATTACCTATGTAGCAGAGTGGCCATGTCGACTGTCTACAAGGACACGTATTTTGGTGGCCATCAGCCGAGGGGTCTGTACTGAATCTTGCAGCTAGGGAAGGTGATTAAACGTATGACATGCAGACCCTAGCAGAACTTCATGTACTTGTGTATGCAGAAAAAATTCCATCCATCTGATATTTTGCTTGTGGAATACATAGAGGCCAGTCTACTGCATATGTACAGAACAGAATTAGGCTCCAAGCAGACAAGAAAGTAGTATAATAACAGCAACCACATGTCTGTGGTGTCCGTAGGTGTTGGTATATGCTTTCATGAGGAAGTACAATCAAGACACCAACCAGTTTAAGCGAATCTTAGCATGGCTTGTTGCTAATTTGGTTACGGCTTACAGCTATAGGTTTTCAGGTGGAACTCTGTTTAATTAGATGAAAATATATACAGTTAAACCCTCATTTGGCAATATTTTGGAATCTGACTTTTTATGAAATGTACACACAGGAAAATAGAAAATTTGGGGGGTTACAACAATACAAATGGTCTTTCTTTACTCTGTATTGGCTTTTGAAGACCACAAATACACCAAGACCACCATTCCACAGCCACCAGAGGCTGACCTGTGTGTCATATTAGAGATTTACTGTATATGGAATCACGCTCAGTTGTGCATATCAAGTATAAACAGCAGTAACGAACATTGTGAGCTCAGCTTTCACTGTGAGCATCCATCATCTCAAAATCAAATGAAAGCAAAGCCGAAGTCAACCAACTGAACCTAATCCAGTTACTGTCCCACACCAGCGGGCCTGCCGAGGGAGCTCCATGGAGGGTTGTTCAGTGTCGAGTATCACTTCATGCCCATCGTATTTGTGAGAGGGCCATTCTCTTTTGAAGAAGATGATGAGAGGGAGGAGAGCAAAGTGTTGTGTCAAAACTTCAAAAGCATTCCTGATCGCTTACAAGTTCCTGCCTCAAAACATCCCCTTGGTAAGCAGGCACACACATTCACAGTAACTAAGCAAGTGAAGTATTAGTTACTGCTTAAAATGCGCCTTTGGGAAAAATCAACCTCCAGCCCCTCGACACACTCACTGACCTACATACATAAAAACACACAAGCTCCATTTCCTGCACTCAACTTCCATATTTCAAGGAGAACTCTCACTGACCTGACGGTGTGCAAAAGAGCAGGTCAGAGGTTAAATGGCAGCACTAACGAAGTCATGCATGGCACACGGCTGCGGGTCACCGATAACCACAGCAGAGAATCTAACAGATACGACTCAGGGGATGTCAAGTCCACTGTCATCACCTCTTAACTATATGAACCACCAGGCCACTCAGAGGCTAACTTTGATGGAACAGCTGCTATGCATGCAAAGAGCTGGGAAGTGATGACATCACTTGCACACTTTTGACCTGCAGTTCTCAAACAGAAAATGAATCAGGAACGGAGGTCACAGCAGAAATGTGCCTCTTCCCTCAGGCGCTGTCCCAGTGGACATGAGAGGGAATAAATCCATCATATGTGCCAGCAGGGTGAAGAGAAACAGCAAAGAGGCAGCACCGAAAAGTCCAGAAAACAGACATCATCGGTGTGAAATACTCAGGTTCAAGATCTGGGTCACAGTTATTCTTTTGCAAGTCAAGTCCAAGGGTAAGGGTTTGAAACAAGGTCCCCAAAATTGGGAATAGTTACTAAGAAAGTGTTCATTTTAATTTATGCTTTACATCAACAGGCACAAAATGTTCAAATAATCATGATTAAGTGAGAAACTAGCTATTAATTCTCATTATGAAGAAGGAAGTGTTTAATAATTATTATGTCACTCCTCACTTGTTCTTCAGCAAGTAATTTCTATACTTGTCTCCTGTATTATAAAATGTTACCAGTCCAAGTGTTAAATATTGCGGTTTGAGTCCTGAACAACTTTGAGTCCCCTCAGTATACTGGTTCTCAGGAAATTTTTCTTTTTATTTATTTTACTTCATTCACTGGTGACGTGCAAAGCAGTTCTTATTAACAAGAAGATACCTGAATTACTGGAATGAGTTCATTAAAAAGATTTGTCCACCAAGTTGTTCAGTGCTTGACTCACTGCTCTGAAACGTGGCCCAACAGTAAATATTCCTTACACTACCCAACTCCCAGAACAACAAGTGCTTTGACAAACATACCAATTTTGTTCAAAATTCTTGATATTTTAAAAGATGAACATTGGTTTTGATTCGGAAGTCCGAAGTCCAAATCAAAATTTTGCATTTTTCTTGACCATGCTGAATCTGATTCCAGCAGTTCGAGGGCTCTTGTTTAAAAGATTTGTCCTTTTAAGGAAATCATTTGGAGATGAAACAACACAATTATTCTCTGCACTGTACATCTTTTAACAGTATGCTTTCTCAAGGAGCATCACAGAAATAACTGAAAGCGCCAGGACTGATGGAGGACTGCTGGTGAACTTAGGTCACCTCTTCCTGTTACTGTTTAATCAGAAGTTATACAGTAGATATGGGGCCTGAATCTGTGATAACTTTGATCTCCGTCTTTTTATATGGGATGATAAACAAAAAATAAAAAAAAGTTAGAAGTGAGTCGGTTGTGTTTTAATAATGCGTCACTAGGGCAAGAGGTCACATACTTTCCTTATGTGGCCTTTCCTCCTTCACTTCTGTGTATTTCCATTTAAACTCAGATGGAAATATACAGCCATTTAAACAGATTGAAGGGTAAACACATCATTGTGTAGCGAGCAGAGGTCCTGATTTTACACTGCTTACATTGCAAGGATGCCCACTACCTGTTTAATTAAATGCTTCCACCCTTTCAGCAAACAGCACGTACACTTACAAACACACCTCCTGTCACAAACACAGATGTATTCCTCTCTTAGGTGGAGATTTCCACTATCAGGTGGTGCTTCGGTCGTGCAGTCAGGGTTATAAATGATGTTCTGTATTTGCAGGCTGAGCTGAATTCTATAATATGACAAATGCACCCACAAGCTTCAACTACCCATGAGCATGTTGGCACAGGTGTATTTTGCTTACTGTGGCATGTTGTTAGAATTTTTCAAGGTAAATGTCAGCTCACCCAAAATACTTACACTTTTAGTCACAGCAGTATTTAGCAAGTGAGATGAATTGGCTTTACTCTGCTTAGGCTGCCATTTGAATACAATGGTTTGAATGGTTTTCTGTTTGTTTGTTTTTTTCACATATACAGTAATACCCCTCACACTTTGATATGAACACTTAAGAGAATTAAATTTTTGGATCACCAAAGGTGTAACAGTTTGTCCTATGGGGAACACAAATGTCTGTACTAAATTTCACAGCAGTCCATCTGATGATTGTTGAAATATTTCACTAGAAAACACAAATGTCCACTTCATAGTGGCTGCAAAGAGAAAGGTCAGGAAACCACTAAAGTCTGTAGGCTTCCTATCCTCTATGGAATGTCTGTACAAAATAAATTAGGGTGGTAGACCAGCTGTTAGACGAACGTCCACAGAGCAATGCTGATAACATGCTAAAAAAAATAATTTTAAACTTAGGTTAAATGACTGTTTCAGCTGTTTACCACAACCAGTCTATGGCGTGATTCGATATTTTTGTTCACCAGTATTAGTCTGTCACAGATAAATTGGTCCAATATACATCAATATGAACTCTATATTTTACAGAACATATTAGGGAAAAAGATGCTTGGGGTAAATTACAACCTGGGTCGTTATATGGTTTCTCCAGCTTAGCTTTACAATAGTCTCCACTGTGCCTGCAGCACATATAGTGGAGTATATATGAGGGCAGAATAGACGCTGGTGCAGTGTCAAACTTTATCTTTATATTACGTTGCTAGGTAGTCTGTGAAATATGTGGCTGAAAAGCTAATAAACAATGACCTCATTATTTTTCCTAAATTTCAATATAACTCTAACCAACAACCTACATATCGGTCACTATATTGATATAAAGATCAAAGTATCAGTTCCGAAAATCTAGTATCATGCGGGTCTTTGTTGTGATACATCTTTTCCATGTATTGTGATTGGTCTCACCTGTCAGATGGGTATGTCCCTTGTGGCTGAGGCCGTTGGTATGTAGAGAGGCAGAGCGGGACAGGGGGGCACATCGGGTAGGAACAGGAACAAAAGTGGGGTCCAAATCCAGGATCAGCTGGTTCAGCTGCTCTATGGACTCATCAATGTCTGTGTTTAATGACTCCAGTTCATCGTCTTGACAAGATGATGTGTGTGTGGTATTTGTGGACTGTGTGCTGTGTGTATTTTCTGTGACATTATGTGCATCATCTTCATCCACCAGCCCTCTCTGCACTGCTTCCCTGCTGCTGAGTCCTCGAGCTGGTGTGTCAGGAGCAACCAGAGGTGGCAGCCTCTCTTTATTTGACCTGACTGACGCCCCCTCCACGTCCACTGCAAGCATGTTATTGGTGACAATATCCGCCATCTGCTGTTGCTGTACCCAGGAGTGAGTGGAGTACTCAGTTCGGGCTGGTCTCTGACTTGCAGGCAGATTTTCAGATGAGAGGGAGCCAATACTACTTGAGCTCAGCATGTCCATAGCAGGAATTGCCACATCATCGACTTCATCCTCATCATCCAGTATGTCAGTCTCCCTCTCGCTTGCCTCTCCATTGGTAGTGTGTCCCAATCCGGACTCATCTCCAGCTATCTCCCCCTCACCTCCACTGGATGAAGCAAGCTCAGTCATGACCTCCAGAAGAGGCTGGATAATCTCAAAGTCCCCTCCAGAGACCAGCTTCTCTGCTTGGGAACACTTGTCCTGCGTGGTCCCTCTCCTCTGTCTGGCTCCGGTCAGCCCCTGCGAGGCAACAGACAGGCCTGAGTCACTGCTGGCAGACGGAGCTCGGTCACTGTAGCTGGGGCTGCTGGTGCTTAAAGGGAACAAATGTCCTTCTTCATTACTCTTCTTCCTTACTCTGGGGTAAAAACTGCCATTTCCAGGGTCCAAGACATGAGGAGGAGCTGGAAGGGGACAAAATTGCACGGTATGAAGTTTACTTGCATTAGAGATAAAACAGAACGGATTGTTCATGTAAAGTTTTTATTAAAAAGTGCATTTATTGATATTGTTAATATTGTTTTCTAATATTTACATTTCTAATAAAGGCGAAACTGACTTGTTATATTCAATTCTGAAGGATCATTTCAAAACAGAACCATGATTTCTCATTTCTACCTATAAATTAAAAAAAAAGACTCAGTCTAAGAACTGTGAAAAATGTCATGCAAAAGTGATGTGACATAATTAAACTGCTTTTTTTTTTTCTTCCAAGAAATGGCCCAAAATTCACAACTTAAAATTAAATAATCCTAATAAATTTAAATCTAATAAGAAAATTGGTGAATATTTACGTTTGAGAAGCAAAAAAAAAAAAAAAAAAGGATTTTTTATTTGTAGTTTTTTTGCATTTCTACTTAACTTTCTCAAAAGCATGCAGCAGTTCACCCATCACAGGTGTCTTAGCTATTGTTGATATTGGACTCTACAGCATTTTTCACAGAGTAATATAATTTTATACTGTCACTGGTAAATCCAAAACAATAATCACATATCATGAAATATAAATTTTTCCTTATTATTCATCTTGTCAGTTTGTCCACCAGTTTAAGAAAACACATTAAAATGTTAATTGCAGAAAATGGTGACATATTTAAATTGTATTTCGTCGAACCAATGGTTCTAAACTTAAAAATAGCCAATTTACAGTCAAGCAAGTAATTTAAGATGCTGAAAGGAGAAACAAAATGAATTAAAAATGAATGATACATTTCCAAAATGATTAATTAGTTATCAAAATTGTCACCTAACTAACTGATTAATCAGTGAATCATTTTGGCTCTACCAAAAATTATTTACCCAAATCCCACAAAGTATGCAGCAGTTCAACTGATCAGAAGTGTGTGATTATTTGCTGATATTTAAATCTTCAGCATTGCTCAAGGGGAGTACAGGATCGATGGTACATTTGCATGAAATCTAAATCTAAATTAGGGCTACAGGTAACAATTACTTTAACAGTTGATGAACCATTTATTTCTATCATGACTCAATGAATGTTTTGCTTCAACCTGAAAATGTTACACTTTTGTCTTTAAAAAAGATTTACATTATTAATCAATTCTAAAATTAGCTGTAGATTTTCTATCAATTGACGTTTTTCTAAAAGGTTTTTCTTGCTTGTAGGAGCCTAAGATGCAAAACTCATAACAAAAAAAACCCCACTGTTAAATGTTTTCATTAATTGCTATCTTTTCTCGTCCGCTGCACAATCGGATGACACTGCTTAGAGATTTTGAAGTCTAAAAGTCAAACTAAAAGCAGAAAATTCCACCTTTGTATTGGACATATGACTCCATACCTGCACCACTACTGTACACGATTCATTACTCCAGACACACTCTACATAGATAACACAGAGTCCCTTTGTGTTTGCAGGCGGATGCATACGTGTGTCACGCAAAGGACGTGTCTGGCATAGACGTCTACCTGAGGTCAGATATAGCTGACTGCATGTTCACACACAGTTTTTAGAAAAACAAGAAAAGACATTTCTAAGTCTTACAGCAAGTTGAAGACAAAGGTGAAACATTTCATTAATAGAAATGAATCAACAACTTTTCCTATTATAACTGCCTAACATTGTCTTGATCTAGCCCCAGAGTTGTGAGGATTTGCTGCTTTTGTGTGCTAATGACTGTAAATTGAATATAGTTTGGTTTTGGATTCATTTTTACACTAAGTAATAAAATCATTTCATTTGCACTCCTCAAACATATGAAACAAAAGAGCAAAAGCAAGTTCTTTTACAATGAGGGTTATCACATTTAGATAAGATAAGATTTCCCCGTACAGTGACTGCAACAATACATACAGTGCATACCAGAGCTGTACGAGAACAGCCTCTTAAGTCCAGAGAAGCAATAAAACTCAAATACCAGACATGCATGGTAAAATCTCACAGCTGGTCTAATAGGTCTCTCACACAGAGATGCAGAGTTCACATACTGATCAACACTCTATTTAACTGTACAATGAACACAACTTCAGCAAGTTCAATGAAACAAAAAAGCAGCTTACTTTACCAGCAGCCAGGAGTAAACTTTGTGTGTCCCTACTGCGGACTAGAAACAGGATGGAAATGTTTTGCTGAAGCCTCCCTTTGGAGTCAGAGAAAGAGGAAAAGAGAAACAGATGACAAGCAGAAAGGAAAGAGAGGCAAGGACGAGCACAGAATGAAAAGGATGAGAGTGAAAGCAGATTAAAAAGATTCAGACCAGCTCTCTTTCCCCCTCCGGTGTTGTCGTCCTCTCTGTCTCTCAGGCTGCCGGAGGAAGACAAGCAAAGAACATTCTTTCTCTTAAGGTGCTAACAGCTCTCTGGTGTCCCCCCCTCCCCTCCTACTCTCTCTTTCCCCTCTCATGTCACTGCTGCACTTCTCTGTCTCTGCACTATGAATCCCCGCCTTCACCGTCAACACGAAATTAGCCCTGCTTTGCCTCCCTTATTTTTCCCTCCCCCCTGCATCCTGTCCCGGCTGACACAGGTAGGTAACGCAGTGGGGAGAGAGTGTGTGCGCTCATGCATTTTCATGTCAAAGTGGGGGGAAGCAGGAGGGAAAGGAAACTGAAGGGTGGATCATCCACTAGACTTGCAAGTACATATGAACAACACACACAACATACAGGTGGAAGAGTGTGTGCAGCACGCATAATGCACTTTCAAGGAAATTTTTTTTTTTTAAAACACAAAGCACAAGGACGTTGAGCTGGCCAAATATGGAGAGGGGAATGTAAACATGGAGGCGGGCTCTGCAGATTGTGTGCAGAAGGGGGATGGGGACATATTGGACAAATTGCAACCTGCAACTTGAACCTGAAAGCAGCGCACAGAGCTGGAAAGGGGCAGACAGGAGATGAGATAAAGGGGGAGAGAAGAATGGGAGAGAGTAAAAGAAGATGGGGAGATGGAGTGATAGAAACAGCAGAGGGGAGGGGTGTGAGAGGGTAAAGTAGAACCACCTGTGGTTGAAAACAACATTCTTGCGAGCGGCTGCATTGCTAACTGGCTGGCACCCTCATTATGCTCATGTGCATGCGTGTGTGCTGGCGGTTAAACATAATGGCAATGTGTGCTTGCATTCATGTGAGCGTATGTATGTGTGTTTACATGCCACTTTTCCACATGTCTCCCCCAGTGAACGGTCTATCTAAATTACATGGCTGGCCAGGGCAAATTTAGCAATGGCATAAAACATCTGGAACTGCAACCTCAACCACTGGTTAAAGTGATTGTTTCAGTTGTCTGGATGTGTGTTCTTGTGTTGGTGTTTTTCTCTGTGTGAAGGGTTATTCTAACTAAATGGAAACTTCTTGAAAAACAGCCGCCTCCAAATACACAGGTCTGGTCTGGCTGCTGTCTAGATGATTGTCGTTACACCCATTCCCAGGAACGTCAAAGAGGCCTTTGTGACCACAACAGTTGTAAGCTGTCACACTGATGACCAGGCAATTACCCACAAGACTGGCCACAGCGAAGGCCATAGTCCAAACAGACAATCTCAGAGACTGGATCTGCACCCACAGAGGGAAATAACTTCTGAATAGCAGCCAGAAATACATTAATGGATTTTTTTGGGGCTTCTGGGGCAGAAAAACTCACCAACAAAAGCTCAAATACACAAACAGGTGACATATTATCATCTCATAAAGTTGTTGTGGTCAGCTACTGCCACATTCAGCAGACACAAAAGCAACACAATTATCCAATTGGAGTGGTGTTTTAGTCCACCTGAGGAATTTAAGTGTAAATATTCACTGTCCTTTTTTTTTTTTAGCTCTATTTTTGTCCCTTGGGGAAAAAAATCCAAAAGGAAAGCTGTGCATTCTTTAGCAGCAAGTCTGTAACTGTGTGAGAATAAAAAAGGCTAAAAATATATGCAGTGACACCGAAACTTTTAGTTAAAACAGGCTAAAGAGCTCTTTAGCACTGCAGAGTTGGTGGTAATGCTTTGTGGGTTTAGCATATGCACAGATGTGATTTGATTTTGTGTTTGATTTAACATCTTCCATGTTGTTTACTAGCAACCATGTACAGTTTTTGCCAAACAACACCGTTCTTTTTCAGATCTATGCATCTACATACTTTTTTTTATCTACCAAGCTGCAAATAATCATTCCAGAGCATCATCTCAAAATCAAGTCTAGCTCCAACGAGGTAAAATAACAATGAAGCCAAACCTCCCCAGGTGTTAGATAGATAGAGGATTTTGACTTGTTTTCAAGTCCATCAATTCTAACTTTTCTTTTGTGTTGTCAGCAAGAATAAAGAATTATATCTAAAAACATAAATCTGTCTGAGCATCACAAAAAAACAAAAAGGCAAAGTCTGCACTCTCCTGTGCTCCCACAGTATCTTATTCAACTGCACCCCTAAAAAGGAAAGAACAAATATAAGAAAAGAAGAAAGAAAAAGCAAAACAATAAAAAATAAAAAACATTTAGAAACCCGTTTGTACCAGTATGTAACTACAAATGTTTCTGGTGGGAGTGATGGACAGCAGTTGTCAATAAAACACTGAAAGAGAACAGCAGTGTGCAGGCTTTGTTATCTTGCTATGAAGATTTTTCTTTTTTGTTCCAGTACCTGCAAAAAAGTTTTCTTGGACGTGTATGATTTTATTTCTTGCCAAGAAAAGAACATTTGGAAATATCCAATCTCATATGCAACAAAAACTAAAGAGCTTTTTCTTTTTGCACCGTTAACTTGTTGAGAAATCGATGCAGTGTGTAGCACCTTCTAGAAACACACTAGCTATGTAAAGTTAGACCTATATTACTAGCAGCCACTTCCTTTATTCTAGCATAAAGACTGAACACAGGGAAAACAGTTGGCTGGCTCCATCCAGGCAATACTAAACACTTTGCTCTACTATAAAAGAAACACAGGTAAGATTTGCAATATGGAAATACAATTTAAACAACAAAATAAACACGCTATAAAACTTTGAGATATTCAGTCAAAGCAACTCATACTTTCTAAATTAGTATAAATACGTGAGTTTTGTTCATTTCTGGTCATTTTAGCTTAAAATATCGAGTTTGTATTTATTTTCAGACCACTTTCGATCTTGAAAACATCAGTTCTTATAACCTGAGTCATTTTGACCTTAAACGATGAGGAGATTGAACTGAATAAGAGGTGAGACTTCAATCAACTCATTTTAAAGGTTTATAAACAAAACTGGCACGTAAGCAGACTTCCCAGGATACATTGTTAGAGAGTTAAAACTCGGATAGACTCTTTATTTTTTGAAGTTTGGGCAAACAAACATGGTAAAAAACTTGGTCTTGTGTTTTTAATGCACGGTAAATTAAGTTATTGTTGTTTCTTCCATATTAATCAAAGCAGTTCTAATCATGAGAAAGGTTAGTGTTGAATTTCATTCCTGTACCCATAGACTATATAGTGTCACTGGTAGCAGCCTCACAGATTGTCTTTGTTCTGACTCTTGGCAGAAGAAAATCAGAAAACTCAGAACATGTTAAAAGAAAACCAGTGTGTCCATAATTAGTCTATGTGACTAGCTGTGACAACTTAATATAAGTTTATTTAGTAATACAGGTTTACTGAATGTGAGTTCTCAAGTTCAGTTAAGTTAACTCAACCAGTTTAACACTTTTGCAACTGATTGCATGACTTTGAACAAATTAATCAACTGACGTTAACTCCCACTTTTAAGGGAAACAACCGCTTCTCAGCTGAATGAACACAAAATTATTTACGGTCACTAACAATAAACTGAATTATTTTTGCAGTCACATAAAGCAATATGTTTATCTATGAAAATGAATGAAAGCCAGTCACTGTTTAAGTCAGACACATACGTTAAAAAAATGACATACAAAATAGCATGTGGCCGTCTAGTTTTACAATAAATGACCATGTTATGTTAGACAGAACAGACAAGTTTGTTCATCCACCGTAACGGGGTCTTCAGATTAAATGTCTTCCTGTGACATCCTGTTTAAGAGTTAAGTCAGGCATACCACGAGAATTCCAAAACAGCAAGAAAAGAAAGCGAAAGAAAGAATCAGAGCATAAAGAATTTTGTAAAATGGAGTTTGTGGGGTTTCCTGAATAAAACTACTAAAATGCCCCTCACCTGTTTCAAGAGAAGACGTGTCTTGGTATGAATCTCGTCTAACCAATGGGTCCAAGGTGTCATAGTCCACCGTCACAGAGCGCCCGTTGTGCCACAGCTCTCTGCCTGCACATGGAAACAACAAATCAGTGACACAACAAGACACACAGACACAGCCACTTGTGTTCAGCTGGTTCCCAGGACCAAATTTTGTTTAACATGTGATTTAAATGATAATATGAGCTTTATTCTCAGTTTCACATTCATGTCCACTTATTTGCCAGTATCTGTGTGTGCCTGAAGCTGTAGTGGTTGTGTTTCCGCCCCTGTGTTCTCCCCTGTGTACAGTATCTGCAATCTGAATTCCTGTCAGAAGTGTGTGCATGGCAACCCCTCATATTGCTTCCTGTTAACAGGCGAGGAGTGTGGCTGGAAGTGCTGAGGGCCATTTCAGTTGGCCTGGTGTCCAACACTGCCCCCACCTGGGTGACCAAACTTTTTCATTCATGAGTAATGAGCGTGTGTGCTATGCTTCAGCCTGAGTCACTTCTGTCTCTTCAGCTTGAGTTAAGAGATACAATGAACCTTGGTCTAGCATTGTAGCCCAAATAATGTGTCTGTCTGGGAGTCCAGGTGTTAGAACTTATCTGTAATGTCACAGAAACAAGACAAAAAAATCTCTTCCTGCCTTATCTGAGCATGGCAGCTGTGTGAATTTGTGTACAGTTCATTATGCATTTTGAATTATGAAGACAACATTATCTAAATTCTCCCCTGACATACAAAAATAACAGCCTTATTAACAAGCATGGTAAAATGGAAAGCAGCTTATGGTTTTTCATCATAAACAACATTTTAGTCTCCATCACCAGTTTTTAAAACAACACTACTCTGTCAATTTCAAAATTCTGGGATCAAGTTTCAAATTAAATACCACATTTTTCATTACAAATTAAAATATCAGCTTAACAGTTTAAGTAACAAATAGAATCTATCAATCTGTCCATCAGTTTCAGAATATGTTAATATTGATGCTGATCTTTTGCTTTGATGATAGCTGCACTCAACCTGCATAGAGTCCACAAGTTTGTACAAAACATGACTACCCATTTACCCAGCATTATTCATTCATTCATAGATACAAAGTTTTTCCTTCATCCACTGTGAAATGACGTTATGTCTTACCCCACTGCAGCTTTTGACTTTTGTGTCTCTTCCAGTAAAGTGGTTTAGAAATACTCATCCCCTAAGATTACTGCTCGACGGGTTTCTTTTGACAGAGCTGTTGCTGATTGGAGTCTTGTGTTCTTTACTTAGTAAACTCTGTATCTGTGATGAAGCTGCTTTTCTATCTCTCAATAAAGCTTCATATGTTGATTTTCTGATGTTGTGCTCACTTTTGGACTGTCTGATTGTGTTTTGGAGACAACTGATCCAGTGTGTGTTTTTTGAGTTTCATGAACTTTCCCCTTAGACCATCCAGTCCAGTCATGATTTAACACTGAGAAAGGTCTTTGCTTAGAATAACAATCTGACACTTTAACATAGTGCTGATGTTCACATGTTTCCCATTATCACAGTGCTACTTAGCGAGCAATGCTCTGCTGAAAACTTGAGACACAGCCACATGTACAAAAGGTGAACAATAACTGCCGGTTGATTTACTCAAACAAGCCTCTGATATAAAGATCAATTCCATATGAGCCTCATCTGAACATTGCTGCAATGGAATGATCCAACTGAAGAAAATCTGACCTCTAAAACAGAGCAGAATCTGAAATATTCCCTCTTTATTTTACATATTGGAACATCTTGCACTTTCAAATGTTTCTAAATCTTCAAACTTTCTGATTCCTTGCAGGTTTACATTTTCAGTATGGTTTCAATTGTATATGAGTTCTGAAGAGTAAAAAAAGGTGCAGAAGGTTCACAGATTTATGTAGCAGCTGCAGTGTGGTTTACATTTTAGTACCATGGACCACAGAACAGATCTTCAAGCTGTGCACTGCTTACACATTAAAAGCTCGATATGCTGCACTCTAAAATCTTAGTTTGAATGTGCAATAGTTTTGCTTTTATGGAAATAGTTATTTGACAAATTCTACACTGGCAAATGCCAAACCATCAATTTTAATGTGTGTTGATGGAAAAATAAATTAATTAATAATTTTTTCTGATCATTTTGGTGGAGGTTATGAATAATAGAAGCAGAAATGTGACAACTTGAGCTGAAACACTGGATTCTGGGTAAACATCCACCAAAACCTATAACATCTGCAACATATATCAACTTGACTTTTTATTCTTTGTAATTCGTTTTATGTTTATATAAGTAAAAGTTTTATCAAAAGATAAATCAAAGGGAACATTTTTGTGAGTGAGACTCTACCTGCTATTTTTTCAGGACTCTCAGAGAGCAGCAGCTCCACTTTTCCATCTTCTGGGAACCGAGGGTCTGGAATATTAGGAGAAAAATAAGGCAGATGGGCGGTTAACTTGGCTTAGTGGACAAGTTTCCATGTGTCCTTCATACCTGCACAGCTGATAGGATTCCAGGCTGAGTTCAGGTAGATGCAGAGTAGACAGATTTATCAGTTACAGATTAAGATTGATGGTGCATGTGGACTGGAGCTGAACAGTTGGCAGTGTATAGACTGTGGCACCAGGTTATAAATACCTTCATTGGCACAGTCAAGGTCCGCTTTTGAGAAAGCAAGGGTGTGTCCGACGACGAGGCCTGTATGAAACTGGAGACGGAAGATGACCTGACGGCTGGCTGATTGGCTGTTTTTATCGTAACAAACCACCTGAAAGCAGATATAATGACATGTACATTTACTGCTTCACTTCATGTGTTTGGGCCTTTTCTTGTATAGCTTTTTGTGAATTCATTTTTCAAAACTATATATAATACATATATAATGTTTCATTATTTTTTAAAGATGTCAAACAAAAAATTATGCTATATTTGAAACATCAGAAATTTTAAAATAATTTTTCTGACATATTTTCTATGAATTGTTGGGCAATTTTTTTAGGTTCAAGAGTCTTTTAGTTCATGCATTATTGTTAATCATTACTATTATCATTATTGTTGTTGTTGTTGTTGTTATATGTTGTTATTGTAATTAACTTTGGCCTTGTTTCTCCTGAGAAATGGTTTAGAGATGTTACTTGTTCTATGGGACACTTTGTCTGAGAAAAATGCTCAGGAATTTCAGACTGAATTTGCATTCAGTATTCCCACTTTTTGTTTTTATGTCAGCATGCACTTGAACTGGCATAATGTTAATGCCAAGAAGCCCCTCTTTGCTTAGAAAAACTTAACAAGGTTGATTTTGTTGAATTACAGCTCTGACAAGCTGAACAAATCATCATCTGAATTTTGCTTCAATGGAAAAGTCCAACTTAAGGAAGTCTGACCTTCTGTACAAAGGAGTTCACATAGTCACTATCAGTAATCTGCTTCAGTTCGACTGCCGACCAAGAAATAGAGCAGAATCATGGTACATGTCAGAACTTCTTGGGTTTTGAAATGTTTCTAAATTGTCAAACTTTTGGATTTTTTCAAAGTTTGCATGAAAATCTGACAGATTTTTGATGTGGTCATACTTAAACATCGTTTACTGTATACTTACATATATACATATCATTCTTATTGTATACACATACAGTATGACCACTCACCGTAATGTCCCCTTTGAGCAGCTGAGCAGGCTGAAGCACAATGTAGAGGCGGTCTGTCTGGGCTGCATTAACATGGCTGAGATGGAGAAAAACACACATTACCTCCTGTACTGTATCTTTCTGTGTTTACTGTGTGTAAATGATGTGTTTCTTACTAGACTGCTGATGTGCAGACAGCTTGTAGACTTTGGTAGACCCTCAGGAAGAGGCAACATCCTACGAAACATCCAAAAAGGTCATATAGAAACTAAACACTCAAAACTGTTTGAGAAGCATTGTTATTAGCAGAGCTGTTGTCTTACAGTAAAGCTTGACTCAAACATAAGAACTGTGAAAAATAATTTCAATATTTGTCTTAAATCATACCTTAGAGATCAAAGACTCTTGACAAGAGTGTCAGAAATAGGATCAGAATTATTATTTAAATGCGGCTCTCCACTCATCTTGCATTTCACTGATTTGCATAAGTGTGAAACGGAGGCATGTTTCATAACCTAAATTTCAAACAGGTGGTGTATTAAGGTGGAGCAAGTGACCGCCCTGGTAGCCTAATGGTTACACGGCATAGCACATAACTGCAAAGCCCACAGTTTAACTCCAAATGATGGCCTTTGTTGTATGGTATTCCTCTCTCTTTTTGCTTGTTGACTACCTCTACATGGCCCTAATTAATAAAGGCAAAATACTAATTAAAATACATTTTTAAAAGATACTCAACTATAAGCACACAGGCTTCCAATTTCTATGGGATTGTTAGCCTCAAACACTACTCCTTGCTTTTTAAAAAATCAAATCAAATCTGAATGAATGTTGAAAAAAGTAAAAGGAACAAATGAGAGATGGCAGGTAGAGGGGCGCGGCAATGTGTAGCTACTGTTATTTATCTTGTTCTGATCACAGTTCTGATGCTTACCTCCATCTGGTCTTATTCTGGGAAGACCATGAAGAACAACACAGAGGAGGAAAGATGGAGAGGGGCACATCCTCAGTCCTCCTTTTAACATGCTGCCCAGCATCCACACATACCTGAAGAACAGAAAGAAGTGGTGTTACAGGTAACTATAACATCATTGCAACAGGATGATGGTGGGTTTGACTTTCACTAAGCCCCTGGTTTAACAGCCATATTCTGTATCTTTATTATGGTACAGTTTGAGCTGTACTTTCACAGCAGATCTCTTGCTCTACATCAAAGATTAGAGTTGAACCAGAGTGCAGCTTCGGCCTCCAGGGATCAGCCATGTACATCCTTACCGTTTCTGTGAGGGAGTCATCAGAGCAGAGAGCTTGTCATTGTAGAACCTTCTCATGGCAAAATGGTCGAGAGAAACGTCTGCACTGAGAGAGAGGCGCATGTTCAGATGATGATGTCGTATTTAGCCATGTAACAAATGCAATTTTGTTTATTGCAAATTAGGGCCAGACGGATTTATTGGCTGGCCGATTAAATCGGCCGATTACAGCCCTTTTCAAAATAATCATCATTGGCGGAAGTTTTGCCGAATAAACGCAGATATATTCTTAATTTCTCATAAAACAGTAAATGCTGTTAAGTGTCACAGTTGCTCATAACTTTTCGAGTTATCTTGCTAACAAACAAGCCAACTTAAAAACCAACCAACAAACAGATAAACGCCAGCTAAAACATAACTTCCTTGGCGGAGGTACACAACACAGAAACTGTTCAAACTGATCTTAAAGATCTCTTAGACAATGTTCATAGTGTCTTTTGTAATTTATTCATGTTATTTCCAGCCAGAATAAATCTATTCATCAAATTTAAAAAGCACTCTAAATTAAAAATTTTAAGTGAATATGAATAATTCAGGGATTAACTGTCCTTAAGGTTTATTGAAGAACATGCTCCTTTTAAAATAATTGTATGCATGTTTTTTATGAACCAATGAAATTCCTTTTGTTTCCATCATACTGGGGTAACAGCAGAAACATCACAGACACATATCTCAAAACAAATAAAACCAGATGCGTGACTGGATATCACTACTTTCTATCATAAGTCTTTGCATACCTGCACTCACACACAGGCACTTACATCATTCCCAGTGGGACAATGGTCACAATCAGATATTTCTCAACAGTGAGTCAGCTGCTCAGCCATGAGCAGCATGCACACAAGCACGTGCAAACCAGCAGCATGGGCTTGATCCTCCTCTTTTCTGTATTTTTAGTGAGTTTCCTCAAATTGACCTTTTCTAACACCCAATGATATTAATAGCTCATAAAATAGAAGATATTCTGGACTTTGGAACTGCAGCAACTCTTACATGTGTGTGTTAAAAATGCATTTGGCTGAAATTAAAAATATTTTGTGTTTTCCTTAGACTCAAAATCTGACATGCAGGTCAATTACAAGTAAATAAATTCACTGGTGTCCAACAGCAACAGGATCCCTGCCTGAAAATCAAACAACAGCAGTTCAAAGTCTCTTCTACCAGTTGTGCTGCCCTTTGCCTGGTAAAGACATACATGAGATCAGCCTCTGTTCGCTATGTCTATTGTTCTGTCAGTGCTCTTTGATCAGCAAACACATCCAACAGTAAATGTCAGTGCTGGGTCATTACTTTACAGCTGCTGTTTCCTTCATTTTGATGATATTTTTCACACATGCTGTGCAAGCGAAGCACTCTTCAAGGAACATCAATATTGAATGGAATTTAAAAAGTTAAAGCAGCTGAGAGGCCTGAGAGGTTTGCTCCTGGACAGAGCAAATTGTGCATCAGTTTGATGAGCAAATTTATAGCTATTTAGACAGCTTGGCCTGCTGGTGACACAATGAAAGATCATAAGGTCACAGGATTAACATGATTCATCCCTTGTGAAACATAAATGTTAATGCCAAGCCTGCATTACATTCAATGGTTTACTCAGAATACATTATAGCATTAAAGAGAACTGCCTCGCAAATGTCTCTTGAGAAGCATCTCCAGGTTTAAAGATTAGAATAGTTCAACACACGGACGTACTCTTTCTCTTGTTTTATTTCAGAAATTCAGATGAGAAGTCTAGTGGCTATGCAAAATTTATGTCACAAAGATTCTTGCCGACCTTTGCATTCTTGCGGTGTTATATATGGACAGTACAACAGCCGCTTTAGTCTCTTTGTTCCCATCGTCAGACCACAATCAGATCTGAAAAACTCAAAATTGAGATTTTTTCTTCGAAGTAAACAAACTTGATAATGAAAGAATGAATAACATCCTTACAGAAATGAATCACTGACAGTGATTTTAGTCTTTTTAGTTTTTTATAGTGATAATGTCACTACTGTGCCTCCACCAGGCAACCTAAAAAGGTTGAGTTGCTCCTTAAAAATTCAGTGTTACCTGGCTGACATGTTGCTGAAGTGGATGTAGGACGCCACCAGAACTCCAAGCTGGCCTTTACCTCCCTGTTGAGGGCAATCACACAATCAGGCTGAATACATTTTATGCACATATGCATGCATATATCACATAGATGACTTTAAAGTAAAGGACAGTGTCAATGTGCATATCAGGATCAGTGATGTTTACCCTGCAGTGTAACACCAACACATGCTTGGAATGGGTCTGCAGCCAGTTCTCCATTACTTTGCACACACTGAAGATCTGATCCAGGCTGGGAGCCAAGAGATCCACCCAACCTGTGTCCAAAACCTGACAGAAAAACCACATACAGTATGCAGTACATGCATATATATACATTGCAATACTTAACCTCTCAAACTGGTAGTTTTAAGTGTTATAATTACCTTGTGGTTCATTCTGGTGAGGCTGCCGTGCTTCTGGGAGAGGTTGATGAGCTGACGAAAGTTGAGGGCAGATGAGGTTAAATGAGTAAAAATCATATATATTTGCCACGTAAAAAACTATACTATGCTCTTAGGAGTAAAGTCTTCAGTATTCAGAGTATGTGGATTTGTTCATTTCTAACCTTATCATAAAAAAATCTAGATTATATAATGATTTAAATGTTAACAAATTAAATATCTAAATGCAAATAGCAAGATAGATGCTGCAAGAAACAAAATAATGGACAAAATAATCACTGAACTAATTATTTAGTTATGGAAACAAAATTCATTATCATTTAACAAATCCACAACATTCATTTATGATATTCACCTACTCAATAAATGTTTTTTTCTTTATTTTTTATTGTTTTCTACAGCGTAGAACACAACAGGAAAACTACAATGACATGGAACTATGTCGTGGGAAAACGTGGTTTGGGATGAGCTGGAGTGCAGAGTGACAAAAAAACAGCCAGCAACTGCTTTGCACATGCAAGAAATCCTTTAAAGTTGTTTTAAAATCTCAAGATGACAACCTTATTAAGCTGGTTGGAGAATGAGGAGTGTATATGAAAGCAAGGACGAAACATATTTTGCTTTGTTTACATTTTTTTCACTTACCACATTATTTCAATACTGTATTCAGTATTGTTTTGCATTGTAGAATCTAGTACAATTCTTGTATGAGTAGGTATATCCAAATTTTGGATAATATAATACAAAACAAATACTGACTTTCATATTTTAAAAGAGAGACATAAGACAGAAACCAAAGAACCAATTCATCAGTATTTAGAAGTTCAGAGGAACTTCAAACGTATGCAAATCATACATACTATTTGTATAAAACAATAAGCTAACATAACTGTATCTCTATTGATCTCACCATGTAGTTGTTTCCATGCTTGGACTGCAACATGGATATAATCTCCTGCAGGTTCTGCAGGTAGAGGCCCTCTGGACATCCTGAAGGGCACAATATGGTGATGATTCGTTCAGTGATGTATGTCAAATCAAGTCGGTCTGGTTCCTCCATGTCTAGCTTCAGTCACATGGGCTGTGAAGATCAAGGAAGTGATCCAGGGTGTGAAAAAGAAAGCAGGGGAAAATTTTTAGGGAAGTGAAACCTATTATATATCTGTACAGCATTTATCTGAGCTTGTGCCACATCAGCTGGACACACAGATCCTTTGACTCACAAGTGAATATCTGAGTTCAGATGCGGCCAGCTTTATAAATCCTACAAATCCTTTTACTGGATGTGATGTGAAAACAAAGTGGGGTCAAGGTAATCCAAAAGCTTAGTCACTGAAAACCCACACAGAGCTTGTGACCTGAGGAGAGATGCTGATGAGCTACACTGGATAGTAACGTCATGACTCATCTGCACACATTTTTTTTTTCCATTCACATGACTCTTTGTGTAGTTCGAAGGATTAATGTTCCTATTTTTAAAAAAGGAAAAGTCATCTTAGTACCATGATAAGATTCAGTTTTGAAAAGGTGTGTAACTAAATAATTTATCAAAGATTAATATTGCATTTATGAAGCCATTAATGAGAACAGCGGTTTTGCTCAAAGGATTGGTAAATGATTTATCAACCATTATGTGTTCAGTCCATAGACAGTCTATGGTTCCAGCACTAGATTACCTGATTTGGGCATTATCAGCTCATTAAAAGATCAATTGCCAGTGCAATTTAATCCCATATGGGTCAGTAGGGACCTCTTCCCTTTCTAGTAAGCTAAGTTGGCACGTTTTTGTCCATTTTGATAACTGATCAACAGAAAGCAATGCCAATACCATTGGTAGTCTCTTGTTGTGTGACTAAGCGCATGTAGATTCTACAAAGTCATCATCCTGTAAATGTACAAAATGTATCTCAAACCATTGTCTTTTTCTAAACCTAACCGAGTAGTTTTGGTGCCTACACTTTACCCATACAATAAGAATGGTTGGAGACAGGATTGGAAGTCAGGTCTCCTGTTTGAAAGTCCGGTTAATTACCACAGACTGTATTTAAAGATGGATAAACCCTCCGTGACGTCACCCACAAGTTTCTTGAATGGCAGTTTCGCAGCTCATTGTAGATACTTTGGCTGTCTCCATCTTGGCAGACAGCTTACAGCTAATCCAAAAATGAGCCAATAGGTGGAGCGTGAGTGAAGCTGAGCCACAAACTCATTTGGGTCACAGATGCAGGTGATGGAACCATTGTATCCGTTAAAGTGGCCATGCCCTTATTTAAGCACATTTTAAAGTTTTCGTGTAATGTAAACATGTGGTTAATAAAAACTCTCCTCCTATAAAATTATACAGATATAGAGACCAAAACCTCACTACAAACACATATTTCTGCTGTAAAGTTGGATGTTTATCATGGTGGTCTATGGGGACTGCCTCCCTTTTGGAGCCATACTTTTGGAGGTCATGCAAATATGTTTGCTAGCTAGAATTTGTATTGTTATTAGTGATTCAAGTTACTGTGACTCTATTAGAGGTTGCAGCAATAAGGACAAAAATTCTCAAAGGAAATTTTCAACTGTTTATTCAGTTTCTGGTCAAAAGATGACCAATATTTTTCCTATAACTGTACGCTAAATGTGAATCCACAGCCCAACACTGGTTAGCTAGTTTAGCATGGAGTCTGGAAAAAGGAAAAAAAACACTAGCCTGGCTCTGTCCAACAGCGGCAAAATCCAAAACCCATATTATAGCTTGTCATATTTGCACTCTTGTCTTTTCATTTATTGTACGATATAAGAGTCTTGATTTTGTCACCTATCAAGCATTTTTGACTCAAATGTTTGCTGAATGTTTATTTATTGAAGCTGAGTTGCTTTCTGCACAATACCTTAATACTTAAAACAAAGTAGGAGCAAACTACTTTATAAAACTCTGTATTAAGAGATTCTATCAGCACCCACTCTTAAAAATATATATATATATAAATCTACATTTAGTGTATTTAATTCCAAGGTCACAAAACTTGTCTGTAATTGTTTTAAAAAGCATGTCTCCTTTTTCTTCAGATTTTTTTTCCTCAGAATCTAATCCAAGATCCCAAAGAATGTGACTTCCTCCCACATTCTTGTGTAAACCATGGAGTGGGTAACTTTGTGGTATCAGGGCTCTATGTCAGCAAATGAAGTAGGGAAATTACATGCATGCTCGCGCATGTCTATGGGAGTGAGGCCGACAGACAGTTGAGCAGAGCAGAGCATACAAAGAGCAGCGGTTAACCTCGCCTTCACCCTGACCATGTGACCATTGCAAAGTAAACAGTGATACAACCTTTTTCACCAAAGCAACATACAGGAATAACCCACTGGGAACCACCGCAGCAGATTTCTGTTTCATTCTAAGAACTCTGTTTATTTGGTTTTAGGAGATGTAAATGAGGATCAGGGTTATGCCATATCAAGAACTGAAACAAAAAGATTACATGGTCTAAAGATAGTTTTGAGAGTGATGGTATTATTTTTTAAACCTTTTGATTATATTGATGCTCCATTTGCCCACATTTGTGTTTGGTGCAATCTGTAAAAAGTGATATAGTAACACCAGATTGTTAAATCTAATTCCCCTCCTTCCCCCTTTTCTTTCAGTTTTTGGAGGAAAAGTAAGTAAAACGACCAATCATTAAGAGTCTCTTGTGCCATGACAATGACTTGATCCCTCACCAGCTTCCCACCAAGTTCAATGAGGCTCAGTCTGAAGCATCGCTGCTGAGAACTGAACCAGGCACATCAATCCCAATGCTACCTTTAAAACTCAACTGTGCTTTGGCTTGAGTTGAGGTTGAATGACACAGATTTGTGCCTTCAATCATATGTTACCACTGCCTATGTGTATGGATGGATAAGTGAACAGCTCTACTGGGCACAAGTCCAAGGAGTCAGGGGTCAAACAGAGCCTCTGTTTGAAGGATTTGTTTACATTTCTCCTCTGGAGGTTGATCAAACAGCTACAAAGAAAGACAGAACACTACAAAAAGATGCCAAACAAGCTGAAAGAGTTGCAAAATGACTGCAAAGAGAGAGAAAGAACTGTAAAGAGAATCAAAACAACTACAGACTCACAAAATTACTCTAGATGCCAAAAAACTAAAAAGACTCACAATATTCTAATAAGTCATTAAATTACGATAAAAAAGATTCTAAAGAGCCAGATAATTACAAAAATAAGTAAATAAAATAAAATAAAAAAGATATAAAACAACTAAAATGTGTCACCAAATTAGTGGAGAGTCACAAAATAAATAGTGAATGGTCCACATTCATATAGGGCATTATAACCTTAGCTAGGTTCTACGAAAAACTTGGGCAATTTGGGGTTCAGTGTCATGTGTAGTGGCCAGGAATCAAACTGCCAACATTTCAATTACTCTGTAACGCACTGCATTACCCGAGCCACGGCTACCCTACGCAACAAAGAGATTACAAATAACTGCAAAGAGACACCAGGCAACAACACAGGCATGTCTATGAGGAATTGCAAAACAATCTAAAAGAGACACGAAAGGACTACCATGACATGAGAACAACCACAAAGACACGCAAAATGAACACGGACACAAAACAAATACAAAAAAGAAACAGAATGACCAGAAAGATGTCTCTTTGTATCCGTAGCTCTCCTGTGTAGGAGGATAGGGGCCTATAGCATGTCTGCGCTCAGGGGCCTGTCTCATAATCCATCCTTGCAGATATGGTGGCTTAAACGCTACACATCTGTGGTTTCGACTTGTTTTCATACGTGTGTGAAAAATGGGCTTTTCAGAACAAACACGCTCCCTCCTACAGCTCTGTTTCTGAGTGAATCCTTGCTCAAACAGTTGACAGGGTTGGGCAAACAATCTTAATGAGCGACTACTCTCCAATTATGTATTTCAGTTCTGGTATTTCAGCGTTTTTAGACTGCTGCAATCTAAATTTGTCAGTGCTCCGCCTGGGGAACCAAAACAAACGGAAGTGTGCGACCTAACCGCACACATGCGTATACACATGTTGCTATAGGCAGCACTGTTCAGAAAAGTCCTTGAGCCTGAACTAGCCACTTCTAATTATAGCCTCTATTTCACATTTTAAAAGGAGGCATTCCAAAATGGATTAGCCATCTTTGTTTCATTCTTTCTTACCGCCTCACAAGTTGGCAGCAAAAAACACCCTCTGCCTTTTTTAATGCAGCAGGAACAGAGCCACAGTTTGGTTCTTCATTCAATTGACAGATCGTTTTAAATTGAAAGTGTTTGTACAGAATACCAGAAGTGAAATTGACAGCAGCATCTCACTGTGACCAGCCATTATTGTTCTTCTCAGCCTCCAGTGTCCCATCCTGTGTCTCCATTAAAGTCTCTTTGTTCTTGTCCCCCCCGTACTATTTATTAGCACATTAAACTAATCTCCCTTCAGTCCATCTGATCCTCACAGAGATTTCTTATTGAGTTACACAATCTTCCTTTTTCAATAATGCATTGAATTAAATCCTCCAGCAGGGTTTGTTTCAAGGATATCTCAATCAGTGTCTAATTAGTATCAAAATCATGTCACTCTGTTCAAGGGGATTTTCAAAGCAAGTTCATTAGCATTGGTAATAAGTGTAATTATCACACCCCCACTGGCAGGGCTTTCACTTGTGCTAAGACAAGTAGGCTTTTAAAACTTAATACAAGATTAAATGACCACTTAAGATGGACTGAATCCCAGTGGAAACCTGTCTCCTGGGGTTCAGTGTTTTAATGTGTCAGTAGGCTAATCTGTGCATCTGCAGGGGAGACATTCTTCACTGGTAATTCATCCCACCCTGCATGAGTTTTACCATCAATCACATGTTCCTACTGAAAGTGACAGCTTATTGTACAATTTGGACAAGCATTAGTGGTCACGGACATTAAGCAAAGAGAAATTTCAAGCAGGGAGAGGGTTAACATTTGTTCAAACTTTAATGTCATAAGTTAAGAGACAATCAAAAAAGTCTTACCTTGGCCTTTTGCTGCAATAAACAAGAAGCCTAACTCACAGCACTGTGAAGCCTGATGAGTGAAAGTCTGTGAGTGACTGGTATAGAGAACGAGGTGGAGACTTGACAGTAAGTGGGAGGAGGGAGAAAGGGAAAAGAGAGCCAGAGAGGGAGCATGATAAATTATACTGTTACAGCACTCCTTGCACTTTGCCCTCTGTAGGACTGCAGTGTGACAGCAGTCCACTCCTGTTTGTGTAAGAGACAGCGTTAACAATCCAATACCACCCCTCTCTAAAACACCACCAGTAGCTGATTAAATTGTTTAATCGCCACACTATCTGTGCCCTGAGTTAATTCAATCAAAATCCACTGACGATTTTTACCAAAGTTTTAATGTCAAGGATGCACAAAATGGTATGTGCCCACAGAGTGAATACACCAAATTCCATTGTATTTCTGATTTATTCTATTATTCTTCAAACTACTGTACTTGGGTAGAAATTTAAAGTAAATGTACACAAGCATTTCCGTTTTTACCTTTTATATTTGATGCAGATTAAGATTTTATTATCAAAATGCTTGTTAGAGATGAAAAACCACGAAATTCACCAAGACCCACTGCAAGATCTGAGTACCATCTTCATCAGCCATCATAAATAATTAATGCTATAATAATTTCACACAGATAGGGGTGTTTCTGATGTTTAATAAATATTTTATACATTTGACTTTATCAGTGTTTTGCATGCAGGACTTTTAGCCTATTTATAATGGTTCAATCAATCAACCAGGCTTTATTTACTGTATATATCAGCTTTTATACTGGTCAACTGCAATTCAAAGTCCTTTCCAAGTGACCGACAAATGCAAATAAAGATTAGAAGGGTGCACTAAGAAACCCATAAAAAATAAAACAAGATGACTTGTACAATGTAACTAAAATAATTCATAGTAAGAGATTAGTAACAAAAAATAGCCCTTTTTTTTTTTTTTTTTTTTTTAATGAAAACTGACCGAATAATTTAACAATAAAACAGAAGTCAATTGTTGGAGAACAGCAAAATAATACAATAAAATATGAGCAATAAAAGACATAAAGCAAAAACATTGTGAAGTTACAATACACTATACAAAATAAATGTCGATTAATGAAACAACCTTCCGAATTATGCAGGTTATTCTTATTTAAAAAGAAAAAAAAAACTACTTACAAGATTCACAAATTTATATGGTGACATAGTCTTTATTCCACTAGGTGGCGCCAGAAGACGAGTTACATATGACCCGTGCTTAGTGATCAATAAAAACTGTACTAGAGTTAAACATAAATATACAAATTAGTTTAACCATATATTTGCTGAAGAATGTCGGGTCGCAACACGTGATAGAAACACATTCTTAGTGTACAAAACCTACTCTAGTCAGACAGATAACCAAGTAATGTAACTGCAATTTATGTTGCCTTCACGAGATCATTTAAGCTCGTGAAAGGCAGCCGCTTTATGGGAAAAGGGACGTTAAATCCGTGTTTACACCTCATCTCTCTTAGATTAAATATCAAAACAGATGACAAAACACTAAAAACCACATCATATATACATATCTGCTGATTGTGTTTTCGTGCGTTAAGTCTATAAAATGTCAGAAACGCTCGATGTCTTAGCTGATGTGTTACAATAAAACCAGCAAATGCATATGTTTGAAAAGCTAAAAGATGTTTTTAACTCAAAACTGACTTTAGGAGTTATTATTTATCAAATAGTTATTGATTATTTTTCTGTCAATCGACTAATTGCGTCAACTCTACATTTTTTTTACAACTCAAAAAACTATATGACATGTAAAAAAATATATAACTTTAAAGGGTGATATTTGAGTATGTGACAGTGCTTTTACTGTCATCTCTTCTTCATCCTCTAAAACAAATACCGGGGAAACGAAGGCTTTCCCCGTTACTTTAACAATGCTGAGCCCGTGGTTTGCTGACTGTTAAAAATTCCGAGCATACGCGAAGTACCTGAATGCGTCATAATTCATATCCAATGAGACCCCGCCCTGTCCACAGTGCACCGCTGACCGACACTCCCGTCGGTCTGTACAGTAGCAGTCGCGCCTTCTCGCGTAAGCTTCCATGGCGACCAGCTAGAAAAGGCTTTTTCTCATCTCGACCAGCCGGTTAGCTCCTGTGAGAGAGCTAACGGGCGTCTTATGAAATGGGATGATGTAGCGGAATAATTCTTTGGATGAACTGCGCAGTACCTTAGCATGCTAAGCTAACGTGAAGCCGCATACATTTGCCAGGGAAACTAGCCAGTAAGTGCAGCGAGCTAATTGCTCTGAGCTAACGCAGGCTAGCATTCACCTGCGGGCTGTTCCTGCTAACTAACTGCCGCCGCCGCTGCTAGCTAACAGGATGGACAATGTGAAGGAAAACGAGGCTGGAGCGCTTTCAACTTCACCAACACCGCAGGGGACAGTTGACTCCAGCGGTGACAGTAACTCCTTGAAGCCAAGTGGATTATCGCCGCTGCCCGCTGGGAAGAGACCCTCCATCGGAGAGGATGACGGTGGGGGCGCAGAGGCGAAACTCTTCGGGAAGGGACTCGCAGCCACCTCCCTTCTCCAGATTGCGATAAGGAACGGGATCTATCAAAACCAAGTTGCCAACGCAATTGGCGGTGCGGCCAGGAATATAAACATGCCCGCCGTGAAAACAGCCAACATTTACAGCCTGACATCAGCCAACAGCACCACTTCTGTCAACTCTTTGCTGAGCAGGAGGCGGCACAGACACAAGAGGAATCTGTCTCTGGGGGCTCCGCCGACCAGCAGCCCGGCCGGGGCGTCCTCTGCTGAGGCGGCCAGCCCTGCTCCTTCAGCCTCGCCCCTGAGCACGCTCAGCCTGGATAGGAAGACCTTTCTCCGGCAGAAACAGTCGAAGCAGCTTCAGGCCTCTGATAAAACATGGGTGAGATCGGACCTCCGGCGGGGCTGCATTCACGTCCACGACTGGCTCACGCCCTCCTACCCGCGTCCAGTGCTCTGCACCGTGGACACCACTGCTAAAGAGGTAGCCAGCAAGCTGGAGGGGAGTAAAGCCGGGGCAGTGCTGAGAATTAACTACAAACCTGCTGCTTTAGCTGACATAAATGATCTTTGTAAAAACAGTAATGGGCATGCTGATGACAGCAAAAGTCTTAATGACAGTGTTGATGACAAGAATTCCAGAGCAGAGGAGAATGAGGACACAAAACAGTGTTATTCCGACACTAAACTGCCTTCTAATTTATTGCATGATGATAAAACTGCAAGCAATTCTTCATCTGAAGTCTATCTGAATGACATTGGCATGGATTTGAGCCTGAGTGTGGCAGACTGTTATGGAGTCTACTCAGGTTCAGACATAGAAAGCAGCACTTGTGAGGACTTCAGCCCAGGAGGACCTAGAAGCACCGAGCACCGGGACTCTTTCAGTGATGGTATGGGACTGGGTACTGATTCTTCAGTATTGAGTCCAAACTGTGACAGTGCCACAGAGGGACCCGACCCCTTTGAAAGCTCCTCAGATGAAGTGGAGCTCACTTCTTCCCCAACACATTCTACCGGCAACTCTGCTGCAGACCTGCCCGCAACAGATACCTCTTCTAACAAAGTGACAAGACTAGATGATGGGAGTGAAGCTGGAGCTGACGATGTGACAGATAGCCCCAAACTAATCAAACCTCCCTCCAAATGCTCCAGCAGCTCTCAGACTCGGCCTCTGACCAGCCAGGCATCCGTCCAGCTTGACCAGGAGATCCCAGGAGAGGGCAGAGAATGGCCAGAGCCCATCAATACCAGTCCAACCCCGGCCCTCTTCATCCAGCTGCACGGTGGAGCTGTGCGCTGTCTGGGAGATGATGAAAGGCCTCTACAAATCTTAAATGAGTACCTCACTAATCTGGGGTTTGAAGATGCGTGGAGGGTGCAGGAGGAGGGGATGAATCCAGAAATTGGCTGCCTGATACGCTTCTACTTTGGTAAGTATTTTATCGAAGTTGTAAAAAGTTTTAAAAGCTTTTATTTACCACCACAAAGAAAGAGCTGTAGGTATGCATTTGATGTCTTTGTGAAAACCTGGACAAGATTTTAGTTAAGGTTTATTATTATTCTTGTTTAAATATTCCATAGTTTAGGTGTCACAGATTCATGAGCTTGTGCAGGCCACTTTAGTTGTGCTTGACCTGTCTCTGCTCAGTCATTGTTCATCCATTCTAGTGCTGTCATTGTGTTTAGTCAGTCGGACTGTTAAACGAGTGTATTCAATTGTCCTGTCGGCACAATACCCAGTGTTGTGCCTGTAAACCCACACCAGCCTCTCTGTTTGTAGGCCAGTAGGGAGACACATGTAGAGGTAACAGGTGTGTTCTTTCAGCACGCTAAAGACCAAATCCTGAGGCATTATAGAATAGGTTTCTCTTCTTGCTCCACCGCTGCTGCTGCTGCTGTTGTTGTTATTGATAATCATCTTGTTTTGCTGACAAGCTGGGTAAGAGGATGGAAAACAGCTCTGACCTCTTATAGGATTAGTACAACTGGATATTGTTTTTGACCTTGTTTTTCACACCATCATCAAAGACAGTGTGGGTGAAGAGTCGGGGGCTAATGCTGTATTAATTTGTGCTAAAATGAACACGTCGTCTTTTTTTTTCTACTCACATTCTCAGTCCCATTTAAAATGTTTCAAGGAGGCTGCGCATTCAAGAACTTTCCTTCTTTCTGTTGTTTTTATTTTTCTACAACTATAAATAGGCCATAGCAAAGACTATTCCGACCATTATCCCAGAAATATACTCACAACATAGTCCGAAACATGCTTTCCTGTACTCTAACAATGTTGCTGGACTGATTCCCTAGCCTCCCCTCCACTGATTCACTTGCCTCCCCTCCGTCGTCCACTCTTGGCTCCCACAGTCACATGACAAAGGAACAAAGCGTGACGTACAGTTATGCCGCTGAAAGCAGGGGCCCTTCCAGATACTGCAAACAAACACACAGCCATGAAACAAGCAGTGAGAGACTGGTATGTGTGACTGGTATGAG